TCTCCACTAATACCAGCAGCGAATATTTTAGCAGCTGATTGCCATGTCATTAGTCTTGGACTGATTTGTTTGGTGTGTGCAACAGGAAATATTTCGCTTTTGGAGAACAAGAAAAATAGGTTTATTTGTGTTACGTTTATTAATTTGTGCAGTTATGCAGTGTCTGCTAAGTTCATGTTCAAGAAAAAATATTAATTTTATTAAAATGTTCTATTATTTTATGTTAACAATTACTCGTTTATTTCAGCCCTTTGTGTTCAGCATGTCTCTATCGAAATAAACCTACGTTTCTATGAAAATTGAAGCTTTTGTTTTTTTGTGGCTACATAAACTTGAACCTTGTTTATTTGGCCGTATTAGCCTTTGAGTTTGACATGCTTGTTAAACACATTCAAAACAGTTAAAAAAATTTTTCCCTTTTTATGCAGCATTCCAATTTACAGAATCTGTGAAAACACAACAAACTATTGTTGAACTACTCAATGAAGGCTGGCGTCTGGTGTGTGTGTAGAAGGAAGTGTGTTAAGTGACAGAGTTTGAAAACAAACAAAAAAAATCAACCAAATGAACAGTATTTAATAAATCTTTGTGGGAAAAACGATATCCAAGAAAAAGTAACACCATGAAAGAACAAGAAAAGTTTTATAATTATGCACTTTATTTTTATTTACTATACCAACATTTTCAGGAGACTTTACATTTAGTTTTATAATTCATTTTACAAGCAAATTCTAATATACAGTATTTACTTTGAACTGGTTTTTAAAAAATCAATGGGAAAAAATACTGCAGATATTAAAGACTGGTGTGTTTTTGTTTTTAGTTAGTAATGACTTAGACACTTTAAATTCTTTAGGTCAGTGTTTTTGTTAATGCTTTACCAAGGAGAAAATGGATAGCTTTTCCTCAACAGTTAAAACATCTGATGTATCTTTAATTAATAGCATAGTTGTAGATTGTCACCCACCATCATAATCATTTATTCAAATGTATTCTTTCAAATTCCTGCCGCAAAAACACTGAAGGGAGGTGTGGAAAGAAATTAGATAATTTAATTCAAACATCAATATTAAGAAAAATAGCAAGGCCATCATCCCCAAGGAAAATGTCAGGTATTTGTATTATAGCTTGTAATTAACTTTAATGTGTGCATACGCATGCAAACATAACCACCCAATTAATCCATGAACACGGAAACCACGGTAAGTCTGAGTGAACAGAAGTGTGCTGCAGGCTTGCTGATCTTCAGCGCAACCCCATTTGGTGATTCCAAATCCCATCCTCTGTGCCCTCGAGACCAGGAAATGGTGGTGACAACTGCTCAGACAGGAGGTGCCTCCGCGTCTAACACCATCTGTGCTACAGGAAGACTTAGAAGTGTCAGCCACAGGAGGGTCATGTTCTCTTTGATGCATTGAGTAAAATACTTAAGGGGTCAATGAAACACTCAAAGAAGTTAGTGCTTTAGTGGGAAAAGTGGCACGTGGAGGGTGTAATTCTGTGAACCTATGATTTCAACAAAAAAGCCACACCCAATAGGAGGCATTTGGATATTTCAGGCACAGCTCCAAGCAATTAAGCTCATTTAAAGTGCAAATCTGATATTTTCTTTCATATTTAGGTTTTTACTTGTTAAAATATTTAGTAGGTTCCCTAATATCTATACAAATACAAAACAGTAGTCGATATGCCTGAAGATATTGCACAAATTAAAATGAGACTACAAGAGAAAAATGTTAGAGGGCCTCATCTTTAGAAACGTTCTAAATGACTTTCACATCTAAATGATGTGGTCCTTTAATGCACCAGTCATCTGCACCTGGTCGGATAAACTCCTCACGCCAGGCTTTCTTTAAAAAATTTTGTGTGCCTCCCATTAACAGCCCAATGTATGCACTTGTACATACTCTAGTAATTTTTCTCTTTCACAATGTGAAACTTAACCAATCCCCAGAAAACTTCTTCCTCGGGACTTGGAATTCCAGCACTGCAACCATCTTCACTGAAATCACAAGAACTAAGATAAAAGTGACCTGAACTCCTACTCAATGAAGGCTGAGTACGCTGTGCGTGTAGAAGGAAGTGCATTAAGTGACATACAGAGTTGATATACAGAAACATTAAACGGAGATTAAGCCAAATCAGGCAAGCTATAGCCTCACCTCATTTCCGACTTAACATTTACTAAGGAGCAGCCTAACACAATATTCTTGCATTTTAAAGAAAACTGCAGGCAAATACTTTGTCGGTTTTGTGAAAGCATCCTCAATGTTTTTCTCTTAAATGTATGATGCCTCATAATTATATTGATGAGCCTTCTGCCAAAATCAAGGCTAAACAGAGGTACAGAGAGTTTGAAATGATGGGTTCATTCATATTTCTGCATATTAATCAGGAAGAAAAAAGAGCAGGAAAATATCAGAATAAAAGAACTGCAGAAGCCAATATTTTTATGTAATAGACATTTCCCTCAGACTAGAGGGTTAAAAATAATGTAAAAAATTAAAACTTTTTGCTTAAAGATCAAGGCCTACTAATGACTGTTACACAGGAGTGTGTATGTGCTCCGTGCCGCCAGTCGGCTCCAACGCCCGGGGCCGATGCCTGAGTGAGTGATGAGCACCCTGCCCGTCCGCAGTCTGCTCAGCTCTGCAGACTCAGGCCTCACCTCTGTGTGGTCTCTTCTCCGCTGCCTTCCAGTGTCACGGCATCATTGTCTTTTCCAAAGAACCCGCCCCCTCATGATATGTCTATCAACTTCTACATCAGCCAAAGGCCTCCTGACTCATCAGGATGTATTATGTAGGGAAATACAGCGTGTCCCCCAAAGTGTACACACATTTTGAATTATTATAAAGTCAGTGTTTATTTAACATACAGTTCACTTTCAAAATTTAAAGGAATCTACAGAAATACTTTTTTTTGCCAATGCCTATTTTCAAACTGATGACTGGTTTGGTCCAGGCACTGCTGATAACGTGAAGCAAACATCAAGAATAATTTTGTTTGATATTTGTGCACCCTCAATGTTGACTGTTGTTGGTTTTGTACTGTAAACTGTATCTTCTATACATCCTCATTAAAAAGTCTAGTGGCATTTTAGGATAAATTTTCTTTGTTAAAAGCTTAGTCTGACTTCACCCATCACTATATTTCAAATCAGTTAACCCTGAAAGGAGTGAAAACTCCATGAGTCACCAGCTGTTAAAGTGTGTATACGTTTTTGGGGACCCCTCTTTAGTGTAACAACACCTCACTTATAATACATGAAGTCAGCTTCTTTCTCCTCCCAAATGAAAGAGCACCTGTGCCCACTGACAGCTGCAGCCATCACTGCTCGTCTCTACGAACAAACAAGAGCTTTGCTGCAGTGGCTTGATACCAACACCTTCTGGACAATGTGAAGTTTCTGAACTTTTGTGTTTCTCCTGCAGAAGTGCTGCTGAATGAGAGTATGGTGTCGCCTGCTACCAAATCCAAGAATGGTTTGTACCCAGTGAAGGGCAAATTCACTGGAATGGTACGGGAAGACTACCTCAAAATGACAGTAATCCATCAACTCTTTTGAAATTTACACTAAAGCACCTGCTGTTATTTAAAAAGGGGCAGAGAGTTTCACCAATGTACATTTTTAAAAAGAATCTCTAGAAATGTGAGTGGCTAATTTTTTGGCCAGAACCCCTTTTGATACATTTTGGTCAGCTGATCACAACAAAAATCTACATTGTGAAAGCCCATCTCTCTGAAAGACAGTAACTCTAACCAAAGCCACAACAGGCAAACCACCTAAGGACATGATCTGGGAGAGCAGGGCACACTGACGGAGCTTCTGAAGAGCGCCCATAGCATGATTAGGTTAGCGCTCCTGGTCCCCTGGCGCTCCACAGCTATCTTCCTAGGACATTAGTTAAGCACATTGCCACTGACATATCTTTTAATACCTTTAATAAAACACAATTTCCACTCTCTAATTATATTTCTCTTCCCAAACCTACTTTTTAAGAAACTGACATTCAAATATACACCAACATAAAGGGGACCTGACAACTCAGCAAAAGCGCTGTGTATTCTAGCTTTCTCAAGATGGTCTACTTACATTTATAATTATTGCCAAAATACTTTAGCTTTTTTTTGCTACAGAAAATAGTCTAATTCCCTATGCATGGGATATTTATATCCCATCCAAATTTTGTGCAAACATTTCAAGTCCATTATTCCGGTCTTCAGATATTAGCAGAAAGTCAATAAATATACATATTACAATAAAGACTTAATTTAAAATATATGCTGTGATTTTAAAACAGCTATCTTGAATCCATAAGCCTATAGGGTCCAAAACTGAATTACCAGCAAAACTCTAGCACCAACACGTTACAAATGAATACACCTTTAGGGTATAGGTTTCAAGATGTGTCTTAAACTTTCCAAAATTTATCCAGTACCAAAAGCAAACACAATGGTGTGCATGTATAAACAAAATGTTAAAGTGATATGTAATTGGTTTATACATCCTATGAAACATTTTATCCTGGGTACTTGGTAAGTTAATATTGAGAGCAGCTTACTGATCCTAGCAAAGAAAGATAGAACTCATAGCTTCCCACGGAAGGCAGGGTCTCCTTTGTCCATCATAGAGCTTTCATATAGACCTTTTTAATCTACGAATTACTGGCCAGAACCCTGCTTACAGACTACTTACCGCCTCCCACTACCACCAAATCTTTACTTAAAAGAAGAACCATGGTCACAAGAGGGCAAGTGAAAAAGAGTGAGGTTCTGACCACAATCAGTCCAGACCGTAAGAGGACGAGGGGCACGAAGCCCATGTCTTGCCTGCTACGTGGCGGACTGGGCCTTTTCTGGTGTGCGAGCAGTGGTCACAGGGTGAGAGCCTCTGTGGGCCTCTGAGATGGGAAAGCAAACGCTCATGTTCATCTGAGACAAATACACTTCACTGCTATGTGCTTCGACCAGGATATAAATGGAAGAGCCCAAACGAATAGAAGCTTCCACATTTTAATATTTTAAGATTTGCAAGCTTTTAATGGAACCTCCACCATGGCAGCAAACTGCATGTAAAGCTATTACAGATTTTTTTTAAAAAGACAAATTGGCAGGTGATGACTATGTACTTAGTGTATCTTTGGTTTAGGAAGACGAGAATACCGATTATACGACAAACCATCCCCAGAATTCAAATTGCCATTTGGGTTCTGCATGATCTCTTTTCTCTTTGTTAATGGCCTTGGGATGCTTGTCTTGGCCTGGAAGTTTTGAGGCTCTGGTCGGGGGTTGATTATTTGTTTTTGTTTGAAAGAGCCAGAAGGAGGGCGGAGCTTAGATGCTCGTGGATTTAGATTATTTGCAAGATTTGTTTGACTAGATGTTAGCTGAATTTTTGCTGAATTACATGGTGCCATTACTGGTGAGTTCTTACAGGTGGGAGTCCTACTTGGAGATGATTCAGAAACTGAAGGAGGTACCGAAGAACTCAAGATGGATGGCTTCAAAAGCTGCAAGGATTTGGGCTGAGATGTGTCGTCCTCTGGTAAAGACTGGTTTCTTCCAACTCTCTTAGCCTGGTCTCCTGAACTCGACTGGGTAAGTGTTTGAGAAGAAGTGGGTACCACCTGCATGTCATTCATTGGATTACTTGCCAAATGATAAGGCTCTGGAGCATCCATGGTCATGTCCCAGCCTGCTGCCAAAGGCGCACTCTTAGCCACCTCCTCAGTGAGCTGCGGGCTTGAGGAGAAAGGCTGGCCTTCCAGGCTACCGCTGCCTTCTTGCTGCGAGTCATGTGCAAAGCTGTCATCCCGGCATGCGGCCCCTGGACGGGCGCCCTGGCCCGCGAGCTCACTGTGGTCCTCGCTATGCTGCCATTTTGTTAGTTTTCCCTGGGCGTGGTCTGTGGGTCTGGCAAGGCTGCTGGAAGGCTGTAGTACTTGAGGCTATTAAAATTAAAAACAACATTAGCAACAACTCATTTTAGAAATGCCTCCTAGAATTAACATAAGTGCCAATTCGGCTGTGTTGGTACTTACTACGTTTTAATATAAGAAGTATGTGAGATTCTTTTAAATTAAAAAATAAATTGCAACATTCAACTAAATTCATGAGACACACTAACGAATGATAATGCAAACAAAAATGATACAGGCAGTAAACACTAAACAAGATTCAAAATCAAACAGGAGGAAAGAAAAATCTTTAAAGTACTGATTTATTGTTGAAAAAAGATTCCTGCCTCAATTGATTCATTACATATTTACAACTTTATATATAAGAGTTTGACAGAGGACTTGCATGGCACTTTGTTTTAATCTCCATAAAGCATCCAGATAGTAACTGAGTGAAGGCGTAGGGTCAGCCACCGGGATTAGGTGATGGCGGGTTACCAGGGGCCGGGAACAAGCTCACTGACTCAGGGTGGGTAGAGGCCATGATGGCAAAGGGCTGACTTGCTATTTAAAAAATAATAAAATCAAGACAATGACTATTCAAAATTAATCTATACGAATATATTATATTAAACTCTCTTACTTGAGAATGTTTAAAATAAATAAGCTATCTCAGTTTTTACTTTCAGTGAAATATCCTAGACTGTGGGCATTTTCACAATCAAAATAATATTACCAATTCTTAAGATTTTTTGAAAAGGAAAGCGGTACACCACTTTATCACACTTGACGAGAGGAAGAATTCCTTTAAAAGTGTCAAGGTGCACGAATTAAAATTACCAGCAAATAAGGTTTAGAATTAAGATAAAAAATAGGTCAATGCACTTAGCTAATGCTAACCCACCTTTAATGTTCTTGCTGAGATGTTTCAGAATCACATATGTTCGCCCCTATTTGTCTGTCTCACTGCCATCTGAGGGACCAGCTGCAATTCTGCTATGGCCGGCACGCAGAAAGCAGGTTTGCCTTCCCCACGAGCGAACAGCCACTCAACAAAATTAAAAATGATCAGCCTTTGGAATGAAGGCTGAGATTAAGCAAATCTGAAATTGCCTGTACCTTGAACTAAAGCTCAGAAGCCTACAATAGCAAAGTTCTCAAGAGGCCCATGTACCTTGCACACACTTTTCCTGGAGCTCACTGTGTGGTTAAGATTCTATACAATCAGAGGAAACGTGCTACTTCCATTACTTTTGTGCATTCGCAAAGAAATATGAATCTTAAAGTTTTCTTTCAATGGCCTAAAGAGTAGTTTACATGGGGCAGAGCCTACTGTTCCTGTCCTGATACAGGGGGGTTGCTACAAATGTATAAACCAGCCGTGGGCAAACTACGGCCCGCAGGCCGGATCCAGCCCGTTTGAAATGAATAAAACTAAAAAAAAAAAAGACCGTACCCTTTTATGTAATGATGTTTACTTTGAATTTATATTAGTTCACACAAACACTCCATCTATGCTTTTGTTCCGGCCCTCCGGTCCAGTTTAAGAACCCATTGTGGCCCTCGAGTCAAAAAGTTTGCCCACCCCTGGTATAAACACACACACAACCTCTTTCTATTAAATAATGTGGGCTCAAAGTATCAAAAAGTCTGGCATGGGGCTTTGAAACATGAAATTAAAGGACCATTTTTTACTAATAAAATAACTTTTAAAACTATGCTAATCCCTAAACAAACCTACACAATATTTCTAACTTCTCCACAGAAGGGGTGAACCTGTTGATGTCATGCTGCATCACCTATCCTGCTGCTTTCCCACCTCCTGCACCAGCACTGAGTGAAGGCGTAGGGTCAGCCACCGGGGATTAGGTGATGGCGGGTTACCAGGGGCCGGGAACAAGCTCACTGACTCAGGGTGGGTAGAGGCCATGATGGCAAAGGGCTGACTTGCTATTTAAAAAATAATAAAATCAAGACAATGACTATTCAAAATTAATCTATACGAATATATTATATTAAACTCTCTTACTTGAGAATGTTTAAAATAAATAAGCTATCTCAGTTTTTACTTTCAGTGAAATATCCTAGACTTTAAAGTCAGTGGGCATTTTCACAATCAATCACCATAGAGATGAATAAACTGTTCTTCAAGAATGAAGGTTCTAAAAAAAAAAGAAGAATGAAGGTACTAAAATCACCATGTAACTAATTCAAAAGACTCTCCTTGGGGTTTCCTTGAGAAAAAGACCATGCCAATGTGGTCATAGACTCTAGAAAAATGCGTACAAGTGGAGAGCAGGACCATGTCAGGCAAACGAAAATATACCAAAGAGGAAAAAAGCAACTGAATGACTTTGTCTTCCTTCCCCTTTCACCCTAAAAACTATAGTTTCAAGTTAAACATCTTAAAGCAACTAAGACCTTTGAAAATATCAGTAACAATTTAAAAAATGATGCCTTCATCATAATATGTCTACTGCCAGTAAGAAAAAAAGATAGTAAATATGTGCTAAAAGCATAAAAAGGTATGATTTTTCTAATTAAGGTGAAGTAATACATTAAGAAAATCAACTCTCCAGAAAAGGGGCAGTGTGAACTGTAGATAGATTATCCATTTGCACTGTTCTGATTACTCGTGTTATCCAACTGACTAGTACTTATCAGAGAACTAAATGGAAATACAGCAGCGAAAACGATGTCTGCTTATATTAAATGCAATGAAGCTCCACATCAAATATGAAAGAACTTGAAAAATAGTTTTTTAAAAATAAAATTTTAAGTCTTTTAACTGAGAGGAGTTAAGATTGAGCAATTACATTTAAAAAGTCTAAACTATCACTTGGTTACATTAAATAAATCAGTGGTTTCTGAATAATGAATAATGTAGATTTTCTGGTTTACTAAAAGTGGTAGGATATAATTTCCCTATCCTAAAATAAATGTATTGCTTTATTGTTTAATTGAAAACTAGTTTGGAAAATAATTCTACTCTTGTAAAGAAAAACATTTCTTACATTTTTGCTAGTTGCCAGATGGGGGAGAGAGGGTGCTGGGGGATGAGAGAAAAAGGCGAAGGGATTAAGAACTACAAATTGTAGCTATATGACAGTTATCTAATCTAATAAGGAGGGAATATGCTAATTGACCCTCACTGTCACAAAGATGGTGGCTCCCACAGCCAATAAGGAGGGACTATGCTAATTGACTACCACGCCCTCAAATATGGCGGTGCCCACAGCCAATAAGGAGGGAATATGCTAATTGACTGCCACGCCCTCAAAGATGGCGGCGCCCAGTCCCCTCAGCCCCCCAGCTGCCCAGGGCTGCCCGAGGCTCAGGTAACCAGGGCCGGCCGAGGCTTGCACTGCCGGCAGTGGCAGCAGCAGAAGTGTTGCCTTCCCCTGATCGCCGGGTCGCCTCCGGCCCCTGAGGGCTCCCGGACTGTGAGAGGGGGCAGGCCAGGCTGAAGAACCCCCCTCCAGTGCATGAGTTTTCATGCACTGGGCCTCTAGTGAGGATCTAAAGTGCAGCATAGGGAATACAGTCAATAATATTTTAGTAACTGTGTATGGTGTCAGATGGGTACTAGATTGATCAGGGTGATCACTCTGTAAGTTATATAAATGTCTAATCATTGAGTTGTGCACCTGAAACTAACATAATACTGTATGTCAATGGTAATTTAAAAATAAAAATTTAATTAAAAAAGTCTCTAGAACAAGATCAAGGTATGACTATAGCAAGGACCGAGGAAACGACCTGCGCCTGATGTGTGGGAGGTTGTGGAGAGCTGGTTCCCACCCAGGACTGGGCTGCTGAACATGCTGCCCCTTAGCATCCAGCAAGCAAAAGAGAGATGTGTCCTGATAGATTGCTGCTTGCAGTACCACCTCCCCAAATTCTAAATCCTCAAATCTATCAATATAAAGGCAAAATGTTAACAATTCACCTTGCCCACTCTCACTACTGTTTCTATGCTCTCAGACAACTTTAGAATAAATTTAAATATAAAAAGAAATATCCATATTTTCATGAATAATAAGACCAACAGGCAGACACAGCTGATTCTCACATCCAGTCGGCCTGGAGGTCAAATCCCTCTAGTATTAACTACAACAATCAAGGCTTAACTACAACAAGACTGCACACAAAGACCACTAGGGGGTGCACCAAGAAAGTATAAAAAATGCTGAGACAAAGAAACAGGACAAAACTATCAAGGGAGGATATTGAGTTCAGAACCACACTTTTAAGGTCTCTCAAGAACTGTCTAAAAGCCGCCGATAAACTTATTGAGATCTACAAGAAATCTAATGAGACCCTCGATGCTGTGATAAAGAACCAACTAGAAATTAAGCATACACGGACTGAAATAAAGAATATTATACAGACTCCCAACAGCAGACTAGAGGAGCCCAAGAATCAAGTCAAAGATTTGAAATGCGAAGAAGCAAAAAACACCCAACCGGAAAAGCAAAATGAAAAAAGAATCCGAAAATACGAAGATAGTGTAAGGAGCCTCTGGGACAGCTTCAAACGTACCAACATCAGAATTATAGGGGTACCAGAATATGAGAGAGAGCAAGATATTGAAAACCTATTTGAAGAAATAATGACAGAAAACTTCCCCCACCTGGTGAAAGAAATAGACTTCCAAGTCCAGGAAGCGCATAGAACCCCAAACAAAAGGAATCCAAAGAGGACCACACCAAGACACATCATAATTAAAATGCCAAGAGCAAAAGACAAAGAGAGAATCTTAAAAGCAGCAAGAGAAAGAAACTCAGTTACCTATAAGGGAGTACCCATACAACTGTCAGCTGATTTCTCAACAGAAACTTTGCAGGCCAGAAGGGAGTGGCAAGAAATATTCAAAGTGATGAATGCCAAGAACCTACAACCAAGATTACTTTATCCAGCAAAGCTATCATTCAGAATTGAAGGTCAGATAAAGAGCTTCACAGATAAGGAAAAGCTAAAGGAGTTCATCACCACCAAACCAGTATTATATGAAATGCTGAAAGGTATCCTTTAAGAAGAGGAAGAAGAAG